GGGTTATATTTAATATGTTTTTTAATTATTTATTAAAGTATTTAAAAAAAGAAAAATATTATAATTATAATTATAATTTTTATAATTTTATAAATATATATTATAAATATTATTTAATTTATTATATTTTTTATTAATATTTTTACATATACGTGACCGCGTTACTGATGTGGCCGCGTTGCTAATAAGCACCAACTTTAGTTGGTGAGGCCTTGCGAACCAGTACTAAATGTGGGGCGAGGCACGATTAATACCAACAGACTCCTCCATGTCGACAAGCTGGCTTGGCTGCGCAGGGCTTCAACGGCGCAGAAGCAGGGTCTTGTCTGGCTGGGGTCAACCGGTGTGCCTGACCACCACCAACCAGAGTTTTGCATCCTTCCATCAGTCATCAGCCATCAAATATTACCAAACTGGCTCTGAGATTTTGTGTACTCCATAATAGCCCCTGGCTGTTGCTGTTCAGAAACAGCCAAGTCGAGCAGGACCACATGAGCAGTCAGTCTTCTGCAGGCCAGACGTCGGCAGCAGTGCTCCCTGCCATTGACGGACTGGTCGAGTCGAGTCGAGTCTGGCCCCTGTCACCACCAATCCACAGCCCACAGCCCACCAGACAGCACTTGGGGTCCAGTCCACACAGTCCACCGTCCACCGTCCACCGTCTAATACCGTAAACGGTCAATCCATCCATACATACATACACACGGCCCAACCCATCCCAGCCCAGCCTTCCCTCTCCATCCCCCGACCTGGCATGTCGACTCGGATAATGTGATCAATCCTCCTCGCCCAACAATCACCTCGCGGATTGACCACTCGAAGCCCCCCTTCCGCTGTTGTCACTACCATCATGAACCTGTGTGCTTCGCGCAGCATCCTGTCGCAGCCAGCATCGGCTTGAAGCAGCAGCAACCCCCCGACCCCAGCATATTGGCTTCAACGTTTGAGACCCTCAGGGCCCTGACTTGGGTTGCGCGAGGGGCCTCTGAAACCTTTTTGCTGGAAACCGCCGAACCACAAGGTCCAGCACATCACACGACTACACGGCCATACGACTGCTGCGCTGTCCATTTATTTGTCGGCGTGTCGACCGACAACCTCTCGCTTCTCCCCATCCGCGACGTATACGCGTGAGAAGCATCAACCCCCCTCGCTTCTCTCGCAAGTGCCAGCACTGCTCTATCTTCCACCATGGAGTGGCTAGAGCGGATGCCTGCCGGCAATCCGGGAGCATCGTCGTCTGTTCGTGGATTGCCCGACAATCCTGCTCAAGGCCGACGTCCTGTTCCCAATTCCGCAGCCACCTCAAATGGTCCTCCCCCGCCGCCGCCCCCGATTCCAAGTCTTCGAAATACGTCTTCCAACGCGACCTTGTCGGCGTCCAGTCCCATCACTAGCCCGGCTCAGGTTATTGGCTTGGCTCGAGAGGCTATGCAGACGGCCCTGGAGAGCGAGGGTCAGGCTGCTGAGGCTGGTGCTGTCGGCACTGCATTAAGGGCTGGCGTCACCGTCGATCTGAGTCGAAAGGGAATCCAAAAACTACCCGAAGAAGTGATAGATATTGTCAAGGATCAACTAGAACGGTATGCATCTTGCTTCTCTTTCTGCGTCAAGCACCCCCAATTGTGACTGACGTGAACTGTTTTTTTTTCTGGCATTCTAGACTTGCTTTGTCGCACAACCAACTGTCAACTTTACCGTCTCGATTTTCCGAATGCACGTCTTTGCGGTACCTAAATATCAGAGGCAACCAAATCAAAGAGTTCCCGACAGCGGTAAAGATTATTATTCCTTCCCTAAAGCCCCTGGCTGCTCGCTTTCCGTTTTGAACTAAATCCTAACTCTGTCTAGCTGTGTGACTTGACATCTCTCGAAATTCTCGACCTCGGACGGAATCAGCTTCGAATACTGCCACAAGACATTGCAAGGTTATCGTCGCTCAAGGTCTTGTCTGTGCCCAAGAACCAAATTCGTGAATTGCCACTGTGCCTCGCCGATATGGGATCTCTTCAAGTGCTTAAATTCGAAGGCAACCCCATTAGCTTCCCACCTAAGGACGCCATACGACCACAATCCGGAAGCCCGCCGCATGATGGCATAGTGAGAGAGACCGAAGTCACCGAGGTCGCCGTAACGGCCATAATTAAGAAGTTTCTTCGGCATTATGCCATCACGGGACGGATGGAAAGCGATGCAACTGGTGATGAGTCCAGCGAGGGTGGTATCGACGTACCTCGGTTCCCTTTGAGACGAGCCGCGAGCGGTCGATTTCCCATCAAGGTTAATGGCGCCGACGTACCTGATATGCGGTCTCCTAACGGTGCATCCCGTCCGCCCCCAATCCCGACGAGGTCGCATTACCGTGGCTTATCGCAACAAAGCACTGCGATGCGTCGGCCGGGCGTTATGCCTTTAACTATTGGAAATGTGAATGAGAGACTTCGCAGCAACTCCGAGACATTGCTGCGGTCTGACCGAGGACCGGACGGCCGCAGTCGACGCATGGGAATCGTATCCAGGAAGGCATCTGAGCTAGGCACTCTAGATGAGACGCAGGCAAATAATCGCTTTAGCCACTACCGTGGCCTGAGCCACGGTTCTGCCATGCAAGGAACACCCCAGGGTGTCAAGAGTCCGGCGACACCCAGTGACCCATACCTCCAGCGACCCATTTATGTTCGCCGATTATCTGTCCTTCCTGAACGTCGACGAGAGTCAAAGATCTTTGACCCTATCATTGAAGCAGCCAAGGGCATTCTCTACTCCGTCTTTCAGATTCACCCCATGATACAGATGCTCATGACCCTGACAAGTGACGGATCAGCAAAACGGTCAAGCTTAGAGATCGTCTTCTACAACACCAACTCGCATGTTGAGGAGCTCGAACAAGAGGTGCAGAGACACGACACCACGCTCCTAGAGAATGGCCAATACTCTGCCGTAGATAATGAAAACGTGCACCGAGCCTGCCATACCCTTGTCAGCGCATACGGCCACGTTTGTACCCTTCTGGCCGAGAACATTGATACCTTCGTCAACAACGGAGACGCGCGATATATCCGCACGCTCTTGATGTTACTCTACAATAGTATCATGGAACTTCGTGTAACTTTAGCCACTGTCGGTGCCTCGCGGCCAGGATCTCAATCATCGAATCGCAGCATGCCAGACGCTAGCGAGACGATAAAACCATTTCAACGGGAACCTTTTGCGACTCCGACGGCAGATAGGACTGGACTTTTACGCAATCGTAATGGAACCGTCGTTCACAATCCTGCTGGCCTGCGCGTTGCAACAGACCTCCCGATTCACTACGCCAATGGCTCAACTCGGACCGCCAAACTCACCTCGGCAACACCACGGTCAGGCGGATCCTTTTCTTCTACGGGCAGCCGAGATCTTGCCAATGATTACACGGGAGAGGATGCACAGTTTGACAAAGTATTTTTATCACTACAAAAGTCCACTGACATAGTCCTCCGCACGCTGCCAAGCTTCCATGGCCAGCTGCAGGGTGATTTGAGGACGGCCATGCAGCGCCGCGCCCCAATGGCACTTGTCCAGGACTGGAAACATTTAATTGCCATGTGTGGCTATACCATACAGCAGACAGAAATCCTCCGCAACAGACTGTCATTGATTAAACTCAACGACCCAAGTGTACGCTCCTACCCCGGATTTTGGACCTTGTGTAACAACTTTGTCAACTCTTGGTGGTCCTTGATCACTAAGATCAAGAAGTCCATCGATAGCCTTCCGTTGCCGCCCGATACAAGGATGCGATTGCGACCCATTCAGCAATGCATGAAGGAAACTGGCAACATAATCGTACAATCACCCTGGCACCATCTCATGCGATCCTCTGGGCCTAATGGGAGTTTGGGCGGTCACTTTTCTCAGAGTGCCTCGCCGACAACCCAGGTTCCGATTACGCCGCAAAGTGCTGCTCTTGGACCTGCCATGCAGGCGACCGTTTCTACAACACCGCATAGCGCCTCGTTCGCCGCGGCATTCCATGGCAACGTTTTTGATCGTGCGGATGCTCTCATGGCAAACCCTGGAATATCCATGTCTCGCAGTGGCACAATGTCGCGAGGTCATTCTGGGTTCAACTCCCTCTCGTCTATTTCGTCAATGTCTTCGGACGGAATCTCGTCAATTTCAACACCCTTTAGCCCACCAAATGGAGGCTTGGGGCTCTCTCGACTAAACGGTGGGAGGTTGGCTTTGTAACGACATCATGGGCAACAAACATTATCAGAATCTCGACCACGATGATGGTTTGGGAATGATACACGATCAACTTTCAACAGACTGGCCACCTTTTCTGGGCCAGTTTTTGATTTTTTGGGGATGGTAATTTTTAACCATCCGGCTTCACTCTTTTCAATATTCCGCATAGCCCGGCGTTATGGGGAATCTGTGTGCTATAGAATGTGCTCTCGACGATGACGCGAATCATGGCAATGTAATCAAGGATATTCGATTTCTTTTTTGTTCTGTGTTCTTCCGTCATGCCGTATTTATTCTTGAGGGAGGGCATCAATGTTTGACGTTTCGATCCCGGCGTTCCAAGGGAGGGGGCTGCGTTTATCTCGTGAATTTTCTTTGGGGAACTGAAATGGGAAGGGAGCTTATAATGCAACTATACAAAGGCTTTACAAAAAGGAAGATGCTAGATCACTTTGTAAGTGAGGCATCAGGCACGGACACGGGCAAAAAAGAAGGACGACGAGGTCAACAACTCATGTACAAATAATCATCATGTTGCTATGTTAATAAATAAATATATATATACGTATATATATATATTGTCAGAAATTCGTCTCCAACAACTAGCACGTCATGAAATTGCATCGGTCCGGTTTATACATGCAGAGCACTTGCCATTATCTGGGGTTTTGTTATTTCAACTTATCCCATCTCCCCCTCTTTTGGTTCTCATGTCCACTTCACCGATTTAATGCAGGTCATGGCCGCTCGTTTCCCCAAAACGCAGCTGCGAAAAATCTTAACCCCACCCCCTCTCTCTTTTTTGGCCAAGACTCTTTTTCAGTCGAGAGTCTCCAACGACGTCTGTTGCTGTCGCATCAGGTGCACACGATGACGTGCGGGCCGGCGCAAGGGGCCGCATGTTGTTCGAGCACACGCACATCATCCATCAACGCACCCCGGCCAACCGTTTGTCTTCACAAAACCATCTACCCGGCGTCGCAAAGAAAAAAAAAAACACGGCATATTCCAGCCATGCAGAAGGCTACATAAAACCCCAAGCAATTCATCCGCGGGAAAAGAAAGGCAGAAGAAGAAAAAATAATTCCACACAAGATGTCAACGGCAGCATCCTCACCACCCCGCCACGCCTCTCCACCAACATCGCTTTCCATCGCGCCGTCCACGGCCGCCCCGACGCAGCCTCATGCCGTCACGGCGCACGCCTCCCCCGCGCCGCTCCAGCAAACGCTTCCCTCGCAGGAAACCCAGCGCCATGTCGCCGAGGCCCGCGCCGCCGTCGTCGCCTCCATGGGCAACCTAATTGACTCGGAGCTCCAGTCGCGCGCGAGCATCCTGCACGACAACGCCGCCGCGCTGGACAAGCAGGAGCGCGACGTGGTCCGGGCGACGGATGGCCTGCGCCGCGAGACGGAGAAGCTCGCCCGGGAGGCGGACGCGGCGGCGAGAAAGGTCAAGGAGCTGGGGAACGTGCAGAACTGGGCTGAGGTTCTGGAGAGAGGGTTTCTGGTGCTCGAGGAGACGGTGCGGTTGGCGAATCGGCAGGATGGCGGGAGCCAGAGCGGGAGCTGTAGTTGTAGTGAGTGTGGGGGCGATGAGAGCAGCGGCGGCGGTGTCGACGACGGCG